CACCACTTTACAATTTCCTTTGCAGGGTTGATTTCCTTAGGCGTGCAAAAAAACAAAGATTGTGGATTTCAGTCCGGGATTGGATCTGTATGTTTAGGTTTGTCAGTACCATGAATTTCACGAAAACTAACTGAAGAATTAATGTTAAACCTTACTCACTCACCCGCTCGCTCGCTCACTCACTCACTCACCTGCGATGCAGTTCTCTTCATAGCGGGTACAAGGCGTGGTTGTGTGGGAGGGGTGGTGGTGATGTTGTGTGGGTGTAACGGTGGGTGTTCGGGTGTGGGTGTTTGGGAAGGATTGGGTTACGGACGTAGGTTGATCATTAGAGAGGTTGTTGGGTGGATGGGCAAAGTAACGCATTTATTTTAGAAAATAGTGAATTCTACAATCACGAGAAGAGGTGAACCAAACAGATTTTACTACCGCTTCTGTGAGTATTGTACACTGGTCTCCCTTGTATAACATCGTGGGCTTCCATTCACTAACGGTTGCCATGGAATCCCGATACCATCAATAGTTCGAGAGTAGGAGTACGTATCTGATTCACACTTCAGTCAAAAAATAGAGTTCGCTCTACCCCTATGCAGTGTAATAATGTATACTTTTGCCCTGAGCGATCTGGTAAATGTTATACAAACCGACGACTTATCTAAGGCAGAAAACAAATTAAAAACCATGTTGTTGGTGACCTGAATTTACACTCCTCGTTCAGGGCTTACTGACGTGCTGTTCCATTGACGAGTCTGCACAAAACCAACCCTCCTCCCATCCCTACGTTAAGATGCACGTTACCAATGTAACAAATAATATTTTTGGACGGTTTACGTTCAGGTTAAGCATCTTCCCTTTAGAATTTCAATTATATTTCAGATTATGACAAACCAACGTGCCATATGTACGTCGCATGTTTACTTCCGGTATATATTTTGATCAGTACATCCAGACAAAGCTGGCAGTTACCAGGGGTACGAATGATTACGAGGGGGCAGACTAGAATGGCGTAATGACGTCAATTCGATGTGACATAATGCAGAAGTATACTTTGATCTTTATCGAAAGATCTTTAATTCTTTCGTAGATAGTACATGTACATTAGACTATGCCGGAACCAGAATCACGTTGTAGAACACACACACTGTGAGATTTAACACTATAGACTGCTACATTATGTAAGTGTAAGATACAGCGGACGAGAGTGTTAGGACTGTGGACTGTACAGACATCTTGTCAGTGGACGGATGTTATACAGTGTGACTGTGTGATATGTGTGATACTACAATGTCCAGGCTAGATAGCACACATAGATAGTAAGCTAGAGGTTCACTGCCACGCGTTCCACCTTGACCTGACACATCACGTTGTTGTTGTGTCTGATACAGAGATATAAACAACAATAGACTCTCTGTGTTATACAACATGTTGATGTGATGAGTAGCTTTCGTCACGAAGCAAGATAAAAACTAAAAATTAAGAACTTCTGTACCCTTCACTGTTATGGCTGAGAGAGTTTTAGGTCACTGTCAGGAATAGTCTCGATTTGCTATGATAGAGGAGTAGAGAATTTGATTCATACATTGTATTCACTTGGGGAATCGAACCCGGGACTTTAGCTTGACAAGATGACGCTTTAACCATTAACCATTAGATATCCAGTACCAATTCCCATCATAGTGATGATGATGATGATGATGATGATGATGATGATGATGATGATGATGATGGGTATTTAAATATGTCGTGGGAGCTATCTGTATTATCCTGCACAAAAGTAGTAAGTGAGTTAGTTAGTTCTAAGCTCTATTCCAGCAATACAACAGTGGGGGATACCAGAAATGGGCTTCACACATTGTACCTATGTGGGGGATCGAACCCGGGTCTTGGGCATGACGAGTTAGCTCACCCACCCTGCACAAAGTAACCTGGCAGTGTAATGATAGTCACAAGTAGTATGCCTATAATGCAGTGTGTTCAGCTACTGCAATCAAAATTAAATACTTCAGGAAGCAAATCTATACTTTCCGCCTTTTAACATGTTTGACTTGAAAACTTGTGATTGTGTTTTGCTTGGCGTCAAATACAACATTGTTATTTTTTTGATGGAAACCAGGTACTGGTACGTCATGTAGGTTATCTCCGTGTGAGACCACACTGAACAAAGTCCTCCTTTTAGGCTAGATGTAACACCGGGGCAATCAACAGTGCGATAACAGGATCCTCAACGGTCCAGAAGGTGGCTGCTTGTCAGATCAGTTAACGTTAGAACATCCCATGTAACACAAACTCTCATTTATCATCTCTGTTTCATGGTCCACATGTGACGGTTTCGTGTAGAGTAATAGCGTTGGCTTGTCACGTCGGAGGCCAAGATTCGATCAACCTAACGTGTACAATGTGTAAGGTTCATTGTGGTTGTTCTGTGCCTGGAATAACACTCACTCACTCACTCACTCCATCCACCCGACCACTCACTCACTCATTCATTCACTCACTCAGTCACGCATTCACTCACCCTACCCACCACCCACTCACTCACTCATTCACTCATTCACGCATTCACTAACCCTACCCACCCACCCACCCACCCACTCACTCACTCATTCACTCATTCACGCATTCACGCATTCACTCACTCACCCACCCACTCACGAGAACTTGTACTTCATGTCACTATAGTTTCAATTCTCCTGATTAAGCATATGCTATCAGGGTCAAAGTGTTCTAATAATGAAAAAACTTTGTGAAAAGTGGCGTTGTCCCGCATCTTACTTTCATATAGGTTTAAACTAGCCTTCTTTCTTATTGTACATGATGTTGAGTGAATCATGTGTATCTATATTAGCAGGTCTTTCAGTATGTGTGTTTTGTATTCTCATATTCATAATCATTGTTGTTGCTGTTATCAGTAGAACAATCGGTATTAGTATTAGCAATAGTGTAAGTATTAGTAGTCATATGTCTCCTTTTGTCCAAGAAATGTCAAGTGACTGGTCATTCATAGGTGTCAAATCTCAATAGCAAGCATGTTCTTTAGTCTCACACCTTGTCCAGTGTCAAACGCTGATGAAGGTTACAAAACGGTAAATCGCGGTGCCTGGAATATTGTATGTGTGAATGACAAACACATCTTGGGTACCCGTCATTACATTACACATAGAAAATGTGTGTTGTGAGGGCACTTTATACATATATAAAACAAAAATAGCGCGTTATAACGAGGCGTCGGTCCAGAAGGTCGTACAGGCTGATGACGATTGCTTGCAACACATACACCCGGAGAAAATTAAAGTACCTACCTGTCTTTACGTTCAGGTATCTCCTGCTTATCGTTAAGATAGCTACCACATATACTGGTTACATTTTGATAATAACTGAGATATCACTTTCCCCACTAAGAAGTTTTCAAGGTGATCGAAGCCATATCTTATGCTGAAATTGGACGGAAGGTAGTACTGGAACGGTTACACCTTGTAACTAGAGATCGACTTCGGTTTCCCTATTTCTGAGGGTATGGCACTATTTATTAAAGGAGTAAGTTTCGGAAGAATATATCAGCGGGCATGCGTGGAATTAAAAGGAAAGAAAACACCTATTGTGTAAAAATGATTAAATGGGCAAAATGGTAGACTCCATTTAACTTATAATTTGTTCCAGTATTTGTGACTACAGAGCCGGAGACACGTGAAGATCCGGGTTAGAATTGATCTTCACGAAATCCGACTTTTGCAAACAGTATATTTGGGCAAATAACAATATAAAAATTGGAAACAAATCTATAATATATGAACACTACTTAAAAGCAAATGTAAAATTAATAAATGACGTAATAAGTATGATGAATCCTTTCACTAGTTTAAAGAGATGTATAGAGTAGAGACAAATTTCTTAGAATATGCGGGAATATTTTCTTCAATAAAACAATTTTCAAAACAAGAAGCTACGATACTGACAAAGCAAAAACATTTACCCTTTATTCCCCCGAATGTAAACATACTCTATGGAAATAAGAAAGGCTGCAATATTTTCTACACAACGCTACTAACAAGGTTAAATCTATTCCAACTTTAGAAAACGACCTTCATCACAATTTTCCACCTGACTTATGGAATACCTATCATTTTATACCATTTAGAGCTTTTCATAACACTAAGGAAATGGTTTCAATATCGTATTGTCCACAGACCAATAAAGTCCTATACACCTATAATCTAATAGAATCACCACTGTGTACGTTTTGCAAGGCTGAAAAAGAAACCATTGTTCATTTGATGTTTGAATGCAGATACATAAATAGGCTGTGGCAAGACCTTTTAAATTGGATTGAAGATAAAACAGACACTACTTTAAACCTGGATCCGAAAACAGTCCTTTTGGGCTTTCATGAAAAACGTAACGATGTTCTGAACTTGATATTTATCATAACAAAGGAATATATATATTCCAGAAAACTAGCAAATATACGTCCAACCCTTGAAAGTCTCAAAGCCAAATTAAACCACAGTTACAATCTCCATGAATACAATGCATACACTGTATGCAAATATAGCAAGTTCACGACTTCCTGGTCATCATGCCACAACATATTTACATAATCTATTCGATCTCACTTATCGTGCTTGTTTTCATTGTGCTGAATAGTGTTGTGCATGAAGGATATAACTGTACCAATGCGAAAAAGAAATAAAATGAAAAAATGAAAAAAAGAAGATTTGCTCTTCAGCAACCCATGCTTGCCGTACGAGGCGACTATCGGGTGGTCAGGCTCGCTGACTTGGTTGACACATGTCATTGTATCCCAATTGCGTAGATCAATGCTCATGCTGTTGATCACTGGATTGTCTGATCCCAACTTGAATATTTACAGACCGCCGCCATATAGCTGGAATATTGGTGAGTGCGGCGTTAAACAACAACCAACAACCAACAACCAACCAACATAGACGGATCCCGTACACCCATCAATATATGGAACACCCTGATCAAAACGACAGAAAAAATTTACATTCACAAAACTTTTTATTCACAAAAGAACACAGTCAAGACATCATGAGTTTGGTGTCCACGCACCTAAGGTTTTCTGAAGTATTCAAGTACATCAAGTACATCAAGTACATCAAATAATCAAATATCACTCTTCATTAGTTTTCAGTGAAAAATGTACATCTCTGAACACGGTACTGCCATTAGACTTGCAGTGCAGCGATGTCATAGCATTGTGACGTCATCAGGTTTTTGACGGCATAGTATTGTGAGTCATGTAAGTGATGAAGTCAGGGCATTGTACAAAATCTGCTGTCAAAACGATATCACCTGGGAGATATCGTTTGATCTCACACAAGCAATATCTTCTGTGGAACACTGTTTTGGATGATAAAGAATATATCCACCTGATGGAGATCATTGTCTAGTCTGTGAAATACGGAGCCAAGCTGAGTTTACTAAGTCACCCAGGGAACTACAATGACGTCTTATGAGATGAATAATGTTAATCAGGATCACTCATGCTACAAATGTGTTCATATGACGTCAGATGTGTTGTCCAGGAAAATGTGTCCATGACAATGTGTTCTCTGTGGGCATATGATGACACGTGTAGATCAGCACCTGTACCAATTGGATACTATTCTATATAGTTCCAGTGTTCATCATATCGTGTCCTAAATATGTTCCCCTGGATTGTTTTAAATATGTTCATTGTGGTTGTTCTCTGGCGTAACAAGCATGCAATAACACTCACTCACTCACGTGATAGCATTGCTAAACTCAGTATATCGACTGGACCACTTTCAGGACACATTACGTTGACAAAGGGTAGGACGTCTTTAGGCACCGGATTAGAAAATGTCCCCAGAACTCTGTTGTTCAGAGAGGCGACTCATCTGTTAAGTACACTCGGTGTCTTGGATGATGGCATGTCCCCTAACCCCGATGTCATAGGGCGATGCTCTTTATATCCACCACTGGTTGACTTGCTCAGACCCGATTATCCACATACACCGTCTGATGGCAATCGAAGCTCATGGGATTCGAGTACAGTACTGGGATTTCATCACCATCAGTTCTCGCATTGTCACATTGACACATCTTCATCAGGAATCAACAAAAGCAACACAGAGCGAATGTTGTCACACGAGTCTCGTCAGTGAAACTGATGTTCGTATTGCTTTTCATCAATTCCTTGAACAGGAATAATTTCATGCCGTACGGTCCCGTCCTTCCAAAAGCTCCTCCCATGCTAGAGTCTTATTTGTAGGAACACATCTCCAGGTTACCTCCCTAGGGGGCAGCACAGGTCACTCAGGGTGGCACCCATCACCTTCTTGATGTTCATGAGCATGTCGTGAAGCTCAGCAGTCGACATGTTATTCAGCTCCGTGTCTGTGGCGTAAAGATTCTCCTCTCGCCATTTAGGATTGGGGGTTACCTGAGTGTGAGGTGTCTTCAACTCACTTTGGAGTCTGTGGATTTGCCGAATAAGGAATAACTTGTAGAGACTTATCGTCGTCTTCGGGGACAAGGTGGGTTCCTTTGTGGCGACCTGGTCGTCGTAGCGTCTGTTGTCACTGTCGCTGTGTTGGACGAACAAGGAACCAGAACGCTGAGGTATCACATCTTCCGACGAATGAGGTAACGTGTCTGTACCTAAGAAATGTAATACAGTTTAGTTTTCAGAGTCAGGCAGTGAGATTCAGTCAGTTTAACTTCATTTTTGTCAACAGTCAGGAGATGTTACGTCGTGCTTCAAACATTGCATTGAATAGTTTTGTAATATATGCAGATTTAGGGCAATTTGTTACAGAAAGAACCAAACACTTTGAATAAAAATTATACATAAATATGAAAATATATTTTTTTTAAAAACCAGGAATGATTTATGCAGCTTTTGCTCCATAAATAGCATGGATCCGGATTTATTAATAGAAGGTGACACTTAAAACAAATAAAAATTTCAGAATAAACCAGATTATATCCAGACACAAGATTAAATAATGAAATTCTGCAATGACTTATAACTATGAGGGTTTATTTTAAGTTTCTGAGGCTAAGACTCACCATTGTTAAGTTCCACATTTGCTTTGATGGGTGAGGAAGACGCGTCCCCACAAAGAAAAATTAAAGCAATCGCCAAGAGATGGACAGTGGTCATCTTGTCTGAGGGAAGCAAGCAACAGAGAGAGAGAGAGATAAGAAACCGTCACCTTTCACAGGACTGTGAGAGTTTCACTTTATATGGAGCATTGTATAAACAGGTTCACCAATCAAATCCAAGTATCAAATCGAGGATGTTCTAATGTTGAAGTCCACAAGTACAACCCGAAGCAATAAAAAGTACCACTTGCGACTGATGGTGGTGATGGGTTTGGCTGTGTGTATGGTACCAAGCAGAACGCCCGTTGTTGGACACATTATGTATTCTGCTGTGTAACTGCTAATTTTGATCACTGAGAAAAAGGGGAGTGGGGTATATCTATCGTTAAAGCGTGAGCACACCAAAGGTTCGGGTTCGATTCCAACGTAAGTGTAAAGTAATGTAAAGCCAATGTCTGGTGACCTCCGTGATGCTGTGGTTTTACTGGAGTATTACTAAATATCAAAATTCTGTAAAAAGTTAATTTGCTGAACAACTGAAGGTTTGGCGTGGTAAATATGAATTAGGGGACAAGCAAACCAGCGATTGACGACCCAAGGAACCATTGTGTCCCCCTCCCTATCCCAGTCTGTACCCAGGTTGTTTGGGAACAGGAAAGTGACCTCTATACCTAGTGGGTCGGTGGGGTAGCCTAATGGTTAAAGCGTTCGCTCGTCACGCCAAACACCCGGGTTCGATTCTCCACATGGATACAATGTGTGAAGCTCATTTCTAGTGTTCCCCGCCGTGATATTGCTGCAATATTGCTAAAAGCGGCGTAAACCCATATTCACTCACTCACTTAACGCTTTCACCCAGAAATAACCCGCACCCCGTGATATCACTCAAATACTGAAAAAGCCATTACACTCTAAGCATTTATAAGTTTGGTTTCATTGTACATTCAAGTTGATGTTAATTTCCCAATGCGGTGATGACTGTCCCACATACAGGCCGAGTTGTACTCGTTGTACAGTTGTATAGCCGAATCGGGTTGTGTCCAGCTTCAAGATGCCGAATGATCTTATGTCCCTTCTTCGTATCATTTACATTTGTCTGTCGAATGTGTCCGGTTATCTCGAACTCATTGGGCAGCCCAAGTATCCATATTAGAAATAAAACGATAACCCAAAACGCAGCAGGAATTAAGAGTGAGTTAGTGAATGTATCAGTCGAGTCTATGATTGTCTATTAAGCGTAGCAAAAAAACAAGAGAAGTTTTCATGTAATGACCTCTAATGACATAATGTCTGGTTTTCCGAAATCACCCTCTAAGGTACGTTCTGCTCGCTAGTGAGTGAGTTTAGTTTTACGCCGCACTCAGCAATATTCCAGCTATATGGCGCGGCGGTCTGTAAATAATCGAGTCTGGACCAGACAATCCAGTGATCAACATCATGAGCATCGATCAAAGCAGTTGGGAACCGATGACATGTGTCAACCAAGTCAGCGAGTCTGACCACCCGATCCCGTTAGTCGCCTCTTACGACAAGCATGGGTTACTGAAGATCAATACTCACTCAGACCTTCACGAGTCTGGTCGTTAGTAGCTTGATGGGAAATATATGCCTATCATTACCGTCACTGTTTTTGTCCTACCCTGTACTGTATATCTACGCAATATTTACGATAATACTTATCAATGTTGTCCCACTGACCTGTCAGGTATAAACAGTGCTCTGATACTAATTCATGTTCAGGGATACGCAGATTGATCTGCTTGCCCTGAAACATGAATATATAGCACCAAAATGTTGATAACTTCAGATAATGAGTACATCAGTGTATTTTGTGTCAGAAGGGGCGTGATTGTGTAGCCAACTGGTTAAAGCTGTCGCTCCACACGCTAATGACGTGGGTTCGATTCCCCACATGGGTGCAATATGTAAGCCAACATCTGGTGTTTCCCGCCGTTATATAGCTGGATTATTGCTGACGCCATACTCTTTCCGCCATACTCACTCACTCACTTACTTTTCTGGATAGTGTGTTTTCCCAGAAAGCAGAAGATCGTGGTTCGAACGCCTCTGGCGTCATACCAAGAAGTTAAAAGCTGGTATTTTATATTACCAAATGTAGATGGGCAAGGAGTCGTGTAAGCGTGGCATTCATGTTAAACTGTGGTATGGCAACCAACTGGCTAGCGTATCATGAGCAAATTAATTAATTATTTATGACTCAGTGCCAAACAGTGATGATACAAGGTGTTCGTGAGTACGTCAGCACATCCGACACCGATTATAAACACATGCAAAGGCTGAGAAATTGTTCACCTAAAAACATGGTAAAAACCAAACTAGCACATTACATTTTGTCACTGAATGTTTGTAAAAAAAACGGCCAGACTCCAGACAACATGTACATAAGTGCAACTGCACAAGTGTCAATACAAGTGTAAATACAAGTGTCAATACAAGTGTCAATACAAGTGTAAATAAAAGTGTAAATACAAGTGTAAATAGAAGTGACAAAACCCTTCCCACATCCATTGGAAATCTCAGTTAAAAAACGTCGACTGTGCATGTGTTTATCAATCACTATCAAATAGGTGTTCACGAAAACGTGACTGTATCCTTCTTCACTGGTAACACCCGTCATAAGCACATGCAGAGATAGGTCACTGACGGGAAGGAGGGTACCGGTCAAAAGATTGAGAAACTGCTTCGGACATATTTTTATTAATATAATCTACTTATATATTAAGTGCAAGTCACGGATGCGTCAAATCAGGAAATGTCCTCCAGAAGAACATCTTTCAGCATCTGGCGTTGTTAGAAATCACGTTGCTGATTGTTTCATATCTCGAGTGACAGTAAGGAGAAGCAATATCCAGGTGGTTGCAACACGCGTTCGTCGATTACCCAATATGGAGGTGCCTACATTTGCAGGCCGTGTAAAACAAACGCGTCAAGTGTAAGGTGAAGGTCAACGTTGAAAGATTACTAAAGGTAACCACCGATAGCTGATTTCCTTCTGTATTTGTAAACAAAACGTCAAAGCAATAGACTTGTCCTCGACAGCCTTGCAAAGGGCTATGAAGCTGTCAGATTCAAAAACCTGTTTAGGGAGAAACTTGGATTCGAGCCTCGATCACAGGTGCTTTAAACGGCACCGTGACCCGGTGACCCGTGCCTCTTCTACTATCAGTAGATGTCCAGTAGTTTCTTTGTCTGTAGTTTAGATTTATTTTTGATATTAGATAATGTATATTCCAACAAGCAATATCTTAAAAAAAACTCGACTTGGAACATATGGACATGCCATCTTTGAGAGGTAATATAGTAATTGTTGCAATTCTGCCAAACAAAGTTTCCAGAAAAGAGTAATACATGCTCACTGCAATGGTGTCGGCCAAACAAGTGAGTGAATAAGTATGGTTTTATGCCGCTTTTAGCAATATTCCAGCAATATCACTGTGGGGGACACTGGAAATGGTCTTCACACATTGTACCCATGTGGGGAATCGAACCCGGGTTTTCGGCGTGACGAGCGAACGCTTGTACCACTAAGCTACCCCACTACCAGAAAGATAGTACATGCTTATTGTAATTGTGAAGGCCAAAAGAAGGGTAGTGCATGTTTAATGCGATTGTGCCGCCCCCCAAAAAGGGTAGTGTATGCTTAATGCAATCGTGCCGGAAAAAAGAATGGTAGTGTATGCTCATTGCAACAGTGCCGGCCCAAAGAAAAGTAATACATCCTCACTGCAATTGTGCAAGTCGAAAGACGAATAGTACATGCTGATTGAAATGATAAGTAGAAGATGATTGTAATTGTTATTGTTGATTATGTTTGGCTTTACCAATGACCTTGGTGTAGACATGACGTCGCATCGTCTAGGTCAGCAGGTAGGTCAATGGACTACCATGGTCAGCTATAGTTTGGCATGAAATGCATGTGGACCCGTTTTTTTGTAAATATCTCTTCATCCAATGACCCAATCGATCTCAAGCTGTGCAAGTGGATGTTTTGTCAGACAACCTAATCACATTGTAAATCACCGATTTTATGCATTTGTATTAAAGAATCTGTCTATGTAACTGTCAACAAAATATACAGCAGAACGCAGACGGCTTGCAGAGGGAGGGAGCCAATGACCTGTAACAGCGGCAGTGTTTGGTCATAAAAGTCAACGTTCGTCAATGTAGGTCAGCTATGCACGTGACAGGTATGAAGAGGTGTCACAGGTCGTGAATTGGGTAAGGTGGGTGCCAACTGTTAACCATCATACGGAGTTTGTTTCTCTGAGTTGTTCAAAATTAACCACAAAACCCATTAGTGAGAATTATTCTGTAGGTTAAAATCTTTAAATTTGTAATGTTAATGTCATATTTTGTTTATGCAGTACCTAAGTGGAAATGCATTTAAAGAACACAGAAAGAATATTTACACTAAATCATTAATCGGACCACCTATGGTTAGAACTCAACAACTGTTATAGCCCCGTTCCCTCGGACACACATACACCCATTGAAGAAAAGATAGAATGAAGACAAAAGTGTTATGTTTTGATGTCGTTCACATTCCAAATTAAGCAATGCATTTCTAATAGCTTTAAGCATATAGATAGTTAATATTTATATTTTCATGATAATTTGATGTAAAATGAGTGTTTCATGTTACACTATAAGTCGTTGGAATTAGTCAGTGCTGTCATTGTTAAAAGAAGTTATATTTCTTTGAGCATATCTGGCTGGATACTATGATTATCTGTAAATATAATAACAGAATTAAACTTCATCAAGTTCACTCCATTCTTCCACAGAGGAGTCATCAGTGTCCAGACGAATGACAACTGGATTAACTGTTTGATCCTTCAAGCCATCTTTGAGCCAGTACTCTTTCTCCACCTTCTTGACATGTTCAACATTTTTTAGAAGACAGGCAATTTCAAGTCCGAGTGGGTTCAACCCTGTCTGATCATTACAATCAGGATCAGGGTGTCCCACAAGGCAGTATTTTGTCTGTCACACTGTTTAGCATCAAGATAAATAGTTTATCAACGGTTCTAAATGATTCAATTGATGGATCATTATTTGTGGATGATTTCAATATTTCTTGTCGTGGTAAAATATGCATACTAT